GTCCGCCGCCCCCCCCACCCCTCGCAGCCCGGGTGGGAGTGTTGTGATAACCCGCAGCCCCCGTTTCCTCCTGGCCAGGAAGGAGCCAGGCAGAGGAAGTATTAAGATGGGTAATATAAACACTCCCCCTGCGAACCGGGCCAGAGCAGGCAGGCGGCTGAGCAGGACGTGGCAGGGTGGCAGGTCCTGAGAGCAGATGGGGCTACCCATGGAGCATGGAGGGGCCTATGCCCGGGCGGGGGGCAGTCCTCGGGGCTGCTGGTACTACCTCCGCTACTTCTTCCTCTTTGTCTCGCTCATCCAATTTCTGATCATCCTGGGCCTGGTGCTTTTCATGGTCTACGGCAACGTGCATGTCAGCACCGAAGACAACCTGCAGGCCACCGAGCGCAGGGCCGAGGGTCTGTTCAGCCAGGTCGTGGGGCTCACGGCCTCCCAGACCAACCTGAGCAAGGAGCTCAATCTCACCTCCCGGGCCAAGGATGCTATCATGCAGATGCTGCTGAGCGCCCGGCGGGACTTGGATCGGATCAACGCCAGCTTCCGCCAGTGCCAGGGCGACCGGGTAAGCCTGCACCTTGCACCCTCGCCTTGGGGACCGGGGCCAGTCCCATCACCCCTCGGAGCCTCTGTTTCTTCATCTCTGAGATGGGGACAGTCACAGACCTCTGCATTCTATGCGAGGAGGCGTCGTCGATTAGAAATACATTTTTTTAAAGTCTAAGTATAGCCCCTTTTTTAAGTCTGAGTATAACCCTCCCTTTTTTTTTTTCCTAAGGAATTCTCTATCTCTTTTTTCTTAAAAAGAATTATTTATTTATTATTGTTATTATTATTATTTTTCACATGAATGTTGCCAAAGACAGAGAGAGAAAGAGAGGGAGAGTGAGAAAGCAAGCCACCAGGTCCGGGACTCGAACCATGGTCAGCCATGTGGGAATTCCAGCACCTTAACCACCATGCCACCTGCTGGCCCCATCTCTCTCTTTTTTTAAGAATTACTATTTTTTAACTTTCTTTTATTTATTTATTTATTTTCATTTGACCAGAGAGGGACAGAGCAAGAGAAAGAAATTGATCAAGCAAGCCACCAGGTCCGGGACTCGAACCGCAGACAACCATGTGGGAGTTCAGCGCTCTTAACCACCACACCATCTGCCAACCCCAAGAATGATCTTTTTTGAAAATAAGAGTTATTTCATTTATTCATTAGTTATTTTATTGATTTATTTTCATTTGACCAGAGAGGGACAGAGCAAGAGAAAGAAATTGATCAAGCAAGCCACCAGGTCCAGGATTTGAACCACAGTTGGCCATGTGCAAGTCCAACGCCCTTCACCATCACACTACCTGCCAGCCCTGGAAATTTATTTCTTAATTTCATTTGTTATTATTATTATTTTTAGATTTGACTAGAGAGAGAGAGAGAAGGAGAGTGAGAAAGCAAACTATCAGGTCCAGGACTCGAACCATGGTCAACCATGCGACAGTCCAGTGTCTTAACCAACATACCACCTGCTAGTCCCAGCATGGCCCTTTTTTAAAAAAATTAAATTTGATTTTAATTTAGTTTATACATTTAATCACTATACATCACTTAGCTTATAAGTTGAATTCACCCAACAGGAATACAATTCAGATCAGTCCCGTTGAGGTTTCAAAACACATTTTCATCAACAAGTATAGCCCTTTTTTTAGTATAAATATATCCCATGCAATATGTGAGACATATTTATAACTTAAAAAAATGATTTATTATTGAAACCAGCAGTTGGAGTAATGGCTATGTCGCTGAACTCCCATGTAGTCGACCATGGTTCGAGTCTCAGATCCAGTGGCTTAAACTCACGCCGGGAGCGTGTGCGTGCGTGCCCAAGATCCCGAGAGGAGAATGGAGGAGAAGGGATTGCGGCGTGGCCATCCCCCCTGGGGGGTGATTTCTCGCTTTCTGTCTCTCTGTCTCTGTCTGTCTGGCGAGCACACGCACCTTATAGCAAAAACCTCTCCAAAAAAAAAAAAAAAAAACCAAATCAAATCAAATATAAAAATAGAAAGAAAGAAATAACGAGGAGTAGAATTCAATAAGTTCATAGGAAAATGAATTCAAGTGTGGATTTGGATTAAAAAAAAAGTAGAAATCCACACGGAGTGTTTTCATAATCCGCGTTTTCCAGAAATGATTTGAAGCTCCATTGTAATATTTGAATATTGACTCTCAAGAGGTAGGAGAAGTTGTTGTTGTTTTTTTGTTTGTTTGTTTGTTTGTTTGGAGAGGTTTTTGCTATAGGGTGCATGTGCTTCCCAGAAAGACAGAGAGAGACAGAGAGACAGAGAGCGAGAAATCACACCCCAGCGGGGGATGGCCACGCCGCTCAGAAACCCTTGCAGTGGGGGTGTCGTGGAGACTCGCCCTCCCTTGCATCCACAGCCCATGTCAAACACACTCAAAAAGAGGGTCCTGTTCACCCCAGACATGAACGGAGGGGGCATCGGAGCCCTCCTCGGACCTCTGCTGGGATGATGTGGACAATGGGGAGGCCGGGGTCAGGGCCACCTCTGAGTCACCCATAGAGATGTCGTGGATGGCGGGGGCAGGACAGGCCAGAAGAAAACCCTTCCCTGGGCTCAGGGTCCCCCCCAGTCCTTCCAGCAGCCAGGAAGGGTGTGCTTGACCCCCCCAGATCCCTCCTCAGCCCCCACCCACCCAAGGCTGAGTCCTGTCACCCCATCTTAGACCCCGAGATGGAACAGGTCCCTCCCTTCGATTCTCAAGTGGAGCGAGTGTCCCCTCACGCCCTCTGACTTCCATAAGAGGGCTGTGTCTTCCCCTCGGATATCCGGAGCAGGGAGGGTCCCCTCTCAGACCCCTAAGTGAGGCAGGTCCCCCCAACACCCTCATAATGGGATAGACTCCCCAGCAGACCCCCAGGACAAGGCTGTGTCTCTCTCATAGCCCTCCAGAGCAGACTGGCCCCCACTAAGACCCTAAAAATGGGGTAAATCCCCCCGGAACCCCCATAATAGGATGGATTCCCTTCAGACCCCAGAATGGGATGGGTGCTCCTTCGGACCCCCAGGGCAGGGCGGTATCTCTCCCACTTAGTCCCCCAAGCCACAGAGGGCTCCCCACTAAGACTCCCAAATGGGACAGGTCCCCCCCAGACCTCCACAGACCACCAAGGCAGAGCTGTGCTCTGGCTCAGTGCTCCCCCAGCCCAAGGTGCCCCCCTCCGACTTCTCAGTCCCTAGAAATTGACCCATTGGGGTCTTCCAGGACTCAGACGGCCACTGGGGCCAGGAAGAGAAGGAAGTGTTAGATGCTCACACACCCCAAATTCAGGATTCCCCCCACCCTAGAATATTAGACACTGGAGATCCTAGAGATTTAAAACCATAAAATCTGGGGAACCAGCAGGTGGCGTGGTGGTTAAGGTGCTGGACACTCCCATAGCGCCGACCATGGTTTGAGTCCTGGACCTGGTGGCTTGCTTTCTCACTTTCCCTCTCTCTCTCTGTGTCTCTCTCTGGTCAAATTAAAAAAAACGAATCATGGGACCAGCAGTTGGCATAATGACTATGTCGCTGAACTCCCATGTAGTTGACTGTGGTTCAAGTCCCGGACCTGGTGGCTTAAACTCACGCCGGGCGCGTGTGCGTGCGTGCCCAAGATCCCGAGAGGAGAATGGAGGAGAAGGGATTGCGGCGTGGCCATCCGGCCTGGGGGTTCTTTTGCACATTCACACTCTCTCTGTCTCTTTCTCTCTCATCTTCTCTGTCTCCTCTAGCAAACAGTTGTGCCCCATAGCAATTTTTAAAAACATCTTTAAAATTAGAAAAAGCCTAGTTTTTGTTTGTTTGTTTTCCTTTAAGTTGACAAGTTCCTCTTGCTTGAAATCCCTTGTTGTTTTCCCCTGGGACCGTGGGATTCCTCCCGCTGGAGCCCCACTGCCCCTTCCTCTTCGTCCCCAGAGGGAGATGTCCCCCAACCCCACTCCAGCCATGGCTCCCTGAAAGACCTCAGATCCCAGTGTTGCTAAGCAAAGTAGTTTTTCTTAAATTTTGTACAAATGCATGTCTGGCCCTGAGGCCCTGGAGGAGAAGGGTGGGGGTCACAGTGAATTTTCAGGGTGAGCCCCGGCCCTTCCTGTATCAAAGCTCGGGGTGGACATTTTTCAGTGGGGTGTGCCTGAGAGGTAGGATCCCAGCGTTTTTTTTTTTTTTTTTAATGAAGTATTTTATTTAACTTTATTTATTTATTTATTTTTATTTGACCAGAGAGGGACAGAGTGAGAGAGAGACAGAGACAGGTCCAAGACTCAAACTGCAGTCGGCCACATGGGAGCCCAGGGCCCTTAACCACCAATGCTACCTGCCAGCCCCCCAATTTATTTTTTGTCACTTGATCTGACTGCAAGAAAAACTTCTTTCTCTCTCTCTCTCTCTCTTTTTTTTTTTTGCTATAGGGCACATGTGCTCTCCAGAAAGACAGAGAAAGACAGAGAGACTGAAAGGGAGACATCACCCCCCAGGGGGATGGCCACGCCGCAATCCCTTCTCTCCTCCATTCTCCTCTCAGGATCTTGGGCATGCACGCACACGCGCCCGGCGGGAGGGACAGAGAGAGAGAGAGAGAGGGAAAGTGAGAAAGCAAGCCACCAGGTCCAGGACCTGAACTGCAGTCGGCTATATGGGAGTCCAGAACCCTTAACCACCACACCCTAAATAAATAAAATTTTTAAATGAAACAAAAATATTTTGAAGATTATGGGCCAAACCCATAGCTCAGCAGTTACAGGAGCTAAACTCCACCTGGATAACTCTTATTCAAATCTCAGCCCCAGGGACCAGCAGTTAGCACAATGGCTATGTCGCTGGACTCCCACGTAGTCGACCGCGGTTCACGTCCCGTACCCGGTGGCTTAAAACTCACACTGGGCGCGTGTGTGTGTGGGTGCCCAAGATCCCGAGAGGAGAATGGAGGAGAAGGGATTGCGGTGTGGCCATCCCCCCCGGGGGGTGATTTCTTGCTTTCTGTCTCTCTGTCTCTGTCTGATGAGCGCACGCACCCTATGGCAAAAAGCCTCTCCAAAAAAATAAAAAATAAAAAACTCAGCCCCAGTGGCTTGAAGAATATATTAGGTCTATGTGTACACGTGCCCCAAATCCCAAAGGATGGAGAAATAGAGAAGAGATTGTGGTGTGAACATACCCCATGGGGGGTGCTTTCTCCCCCTCTCTCTCCCCACCCCGTCTCTCTCTCTGGAAAGAGCACATACCCCCTAGCAATTTGAAAACTAACCAACCTTTGACAATCAGACCAACCTCACCTGTAAAGGAGGTACAGCGGGTTGACCAGATGCCCGGTCTGGGTCTGAGCAGCCCTGAGACCCGGTTCTGAGTTCTCTGTATTCCCCATGGACAGATCATCCACGCGAACAATCAACGCTTCATGGCCGCCATCATTCTGAGCGAGAAGCAATGTCAAGAGCAGTTGAGGGAGTCGAACAAGACCTGCGATGGTGAGTGACCGGGGTGACAGAGGACCCTGAGGAGGACACTGTGTCTTCAGTTCAGAAAGCTGGAGTGGAGGCTCAAGGAGGTGTCAGGGGGTCTAGAGATGATTGATGGTTTAGGGCCGTGGGTGAGTTTAGGATCTTATTGGCATTAAGACAAAGACTAGTGGGGCTGACAGGGGCTGTAGTGGTCAAGGCATTGGCCTCCCACATTGGCCGACCCCAGTTCAAGTCCTGGATCTGGCAGCTTGCTTTTTCACTTTCCCGCTTTCTCTCTCTGACGCTGGTGGTCAAATTCAAATAAGAATGATAATAATTAATAAGTCAAAATGGAATAAAAACATTTTTAGAAGAATTCTTTTTATTTAACTTTATTTATTTATTTTGATTTGACCAGAGAGGAACAGAGAGAGAGAGAAAATAAAAAGTGAGAAAGCAAGTCACCAGGACCGGGACTCAAACCACGGTCCACTCTGTGGGACTCGCAGCCTTAACCACCACACCACTGCCAGCCCCAGAATAAAAGTATTTTTCAAAACAAGACAAGGATTGGTGGGGCCAACGGTAGCATAATGGTTAAGGCGCTGGATTCCCACATGGCCAACTGTGGTTTGAGTCCCGGACCAGGAGACTTGAATGAAACTCATGCCAGGCGCGTGTGCGTGTGTGCTCAAAATCCTGAGAGGAGAACGGAGGAGAAGGGACTGTGGTGTGGCCATTCCTCCTGGGGGTGGTGGTGATTTCTCACTTTGCTTCTCTCTCTGTCTCTTTGTGGTGAGCTCACATGCCCTATCTATGGAAAAACCTTTAAAAAAAAAAAAAACAATAATAAAGATGGAGCCAGCAGGTGGCGTGGTGGTTAAAGGCGCTAGACTCCCACATGGCCGACCACAGTTCGAGTCCCAGAGCTGGTGGCTTGCTTTCTCACTTTCTCTTTCTCTCTCTCTCTCTCTGTCTGTCTGGTTAAATTAAAAAGTAATAATAGCAAATGGAGTGAAATAAATACATACTTTTTAATAAAAAAAAGAAAACACACCAGACATGTGTGCATGCCACAAATCCCAACAGGACAGAGAAATGGAAGAGAAGGGATTGCGACGTGACCACATCCCATTGGGGCAATACTTTCTCCATCTCTCTCTGCCTCTTTGTCTCTCTCCGGCAAGCATACATGGCTGTAGCAATTGAAAAAAAGAGAGAGGGGCCAGGAGGTAGTGTGGCCTTTTTATTTATTTATTTTTTATTTATTAAATAAATAATCCCTTAAAAAATACAAATTGCTTTTTTAAAGAATTATTTAACTTCATCTATTATTGTTATTCTTTTTAAATGTTGTTTTCTAAACGATTCATTTATTCATTTAATTCCATGTGTTATGATTCTTTTTTAATTTGACCAGAGAGAGACAGAGACAGAGAGAGGGAAAGTGAGAAAGCAAGCCACCAGGTCCAGGACTCAAACCGTGGTCCACCATGTGGGAATCCAGTGCTCTTCAGTACCACCCCACCTGCTCACAACAGTGCTTCACTTCTTAGCAGAGTCATTATTGAAAAATCCTGAGGCTAAATTGGTAGATACAGGGACCTCACCGAGAGTAAGCACGAACCACTAGACAGAAAAGTGAAGTCATCTGAAATGAATCAGACTCTCTTGAGGCACCACATGACTAAAGCCTCACTTGCCAT